GTGGTGGAATTTAGTGCTGGGTTGACCCTGTGAATAATCTGATGATGGCGTTTATTATGTATCAAATATTTATTTTATATTGCTTATTATTATGAATTGGAAGTTATGTAGCATAAGCATTTTGCACAGTGCCTCCAGAACACATGACAATCAACTAATTTGGAGTTTGGGAAAGGGCCATAGCTATACGCCTTCACAGAGGCAGCGATGCTTCTGAATACAAGTTGCTGGAAACCACAGGAGGGGAGAGTTGCTCTTGCGCTCGAATCCTGCTTGCTGGTTTCCCAGAGGCATCTGGTTGGCCACTGTGAGAACAGGATGCTGGACTTGGTGGGCCATTGGCCTGATCCTGCAGGATCCTCCTATGCTCTGATGTTGTCAATCCGCTGGCTGTTGGGCATTTGGGGAGAACAGTGCGCAGCCCCTTTCAGCCAGCCCTTGCCCTTACCAGCCCCATACCTGATATAGGATGGTATTAGAACAGTTACATGAATGTTAGCTGGGCAATCCCAGTCAAAGTTGGCCAGCGGGATGGAAGGAGGGAGTTTGATTTGCCAGCATGTTCCCTGCACGTTTGAACCCTCCAATCACCACCTGATGAGTGGAGAGGGCAACCCTGCTGGCTGCAGGGGTCTTTTCTCACCAGCATACCCTCCACAGAAAACCATCCTTACCCTACAAACAGCATCCACTTTCGCGGGAGAGTGGCAGTTAATAAACACATACTTGCATGTATAATGCACTAAATGCATGCTGTGGTCTAAACCACTGAGCCTCTTGGGCTTGTCGATCAAAAGGTCAGCGGTTCGAATCCCCGCAACGGGGTGAGCTCCCATTGCTCTGTCCCAGCTCCTGCCAACCTAGCAGTTCAAAAGCACTCTAGTGCAACTAGATAAATCGGTACCACTGCAGCGGGAAGGTAAATGGTGTTTCCGTGTGCTCTGGTTTCTGTCACGCTGTTCCATTGCACCACAAGCGGTTTAGTCATGCTGGCCACATGACCCGGAAAGCTGTCAGCCGACAAATGCCAGCTCCCTCGGCCTGAGCGCCGCAACCGCATAGTCTCCTTTGACTGGACTTGACTGTCCAGGGGTCCTTCACCTTTTACCTACTTGCATGTATAGTGCGCTATGGCCTTGTCTAGTGACGATGTAGGGGGTGTACTCTGCACATGCTCAAGGGTACATTCATGTGTTCAGAGGGCAATTCTGCACCATAAGCTGGTTTTAATAGTAATTTCCCCAGAGGGCCTTGGAAGAAGGAGAAGTCTGAAGCATCTTAAGGCTTGGAGAACTTTAACAGAGAATTATTGTCTCACAACAGGGGTTCTGTGGGAGAATAAGCCCTTAAGAGCTAAATTGGTATTGCAGAGTGGGTGTCCTTTTATGTCATGGATGGGAAACCTCCAGCTCTGCAGTTGCTGATGGATTCAAACTCCCACCAGCTCCAGGCAGCCTGGCCGGGGTTTGTAGAAGAGCCCTGCTAGATCAGAGCAAGTCTGAAAGCGAGATTTTTCCTTTGCCACCCAAGTTTGGACTTTATATCCCGCCTTTCACTCCTTTAAGGAGTCTCAAAGCGGCTAACAATCTCCTTTCCCTTCCTTCCCCACAACAAACACTCTGTGAGGTGAGCGGGGCTGAGAGACTTCAGAGAAGTGTGACTGGCCCAAGGTCACCCAGCAGCTGCATGTGAAGGAGCGGAGGAGCGAACCTGGTTCACCAGATTACGAGTCCACTGCTCTTAACCACTACACCACACTGGCTCTCCACAAGCAGGGCATGAACACAGCATCAGGGGCAATGGAAGATGGCAGCCCAACAACACCTGAAAGGCCACCGGTTCCTCATCTCTGCTTGGGACCTACAGGGTTGAGCCCCAGCACAAATACAACCCTGAGCCCCTCCCCATATTCTGTTCCTCTAGGACAGGGGTAGTCAACCTTTTTATACCTACCTCCCACTAATGCATCTTTCTTGATGGCAACATTTCCTTAGCGCCCACCAGTGCTCAATGGAAGGAGGATTCAGCTTGTGCTGTAGGACCCCCTCCCGCCCACCTAGAATCCTGAAACACCCGCTAGTGGGTGGTGTTGTGATGCGTCCAAGGGAACGGGGGCAATTGGCAGGCTCCCAGCTGGCTCCAGCCCACTGGCCAGTTGCCAGTCGAGCTCCAGTCCTCTGTTCTGCATCAATCTGCAACTCAGAGCTTCAGAAGCCTTTCAGAAACTGAGCACGCAAACCAGCAGAGATAACAAACTCTTCGCAATGGAAGGGCAGACAGAGGCATATGTATAGCATATTTACAAGCAGCTTCATGTCCAAGAGCAAAAAGCATAAAGAAAAAGCTATACACACAACGGAAGTTCCCAGCAAGCTGTGCTGGAATGTAAACAGACATATGACATACAACAGCTCCACACATCAGTTTAGGTGGAACAGAACATCAATATCCTAACAGGGGGTAGGGACCAGGTTGACATCCCCCTGCTCTGGGGCTTGGCTGGGGAGGAGGCAGAAAGGACTGAGACCTTCTCTTGAACCTGATGGCTGGAGCTGATAGCAGCTGTGATCCAAAAACATCTGAAAGACCACAGATTCCCCATTGGGGGAGGGACTTAACAGCAGGCACAGCTGCTTCCAGAGGTCTTCCCAATCACAGTTGACTGCAGGAATTCATTTATCTTTCCAAAGGAAAGAACGTGGAAGGCTCTGGAGGAGAGTAAATGACAACTGTCTGCCTGGACCGATCTGGGCAGCCATCCTGCTTACAATTAGCTTGCTTAAACCTCATTAACTTTGACAGCAGTTGAGAAGCCTAACAGTGAGCAGGCTCACAGCCATCGTTGGGTGCAATGATCTTTTCATCGAGAGCATCTTTCAAATGAACAAGAGATGCTGCCTTATAAGGAATCAGACCTCTGCCACCCTCACCAGCCTGGTATTGTCCAACCTAGAAGGGGGCAGGAGGCCTTTCGCTCTCCTGCTGTCCATGACCTACCTACAGAAATCCTTTGAACCTGGGATATTTGGGTGTGTGCAGATTTGAAGTCCCATAAGCTACCATGCAGTGGTGTTAAGTTTGTGACAGCTGAACCTGTAAAACACTGCCAAATGCAGGACACCGCTGCATGTCCGATTGGAAAAACGATCAGCTGTCGAAGACTGAAATCGAATGTATGGTTGATAGGTGAATGTTTGACAAGGAGGAGAGCAAGGGGCCCCAAAGATTAGTGGCAGAGTGCATTCTTTTTATGCAGGGGATCCTGGGATTGAGGATGGTGGATTTTTGTCCCCCTCCCCAAAGTACCACACTCTAGACCTGAACAAATCAAGCAACTCTGACAGTGCCACTGCTAAGTTTTCCATTATGCTGCAAGCTTTCTCCACCTCTTCCTGGACAGCTACCTGCTCCAGATTCGAGATTTTGATCCTGATGCTAAAATACAAGGTTATAATGTTCAGTGAGGGCCAGCATCTTGCATGGCTTTGATAGTTCTAGCCTCACAAATTTGCCTCCTAGCCAAGAGCTGTTTGACAGTGGAACAGACAGCCTCAGAAGGTGGTGGACTCTCTTTCATCTGAGGGTTTTAAAGCCAGGGATTCTTTAGCTGTGATTCCTGGAATGCAGGGGTTGGACTAGATAACCCCATGGGGGTCCCTTCCAACTCTACAATAATAATACTATTTTTTTATTTATACCCCGCCCTTTCCGGTTCAAAAACTGGGCTCAGGGTGGCTAACAACAAATTTAAAACACTTAATTATAAAAGCAACATAAAATACAGTATAAAAACATGAATAACAATAAAATTCAAAAATCAAAAATCAATTTAGGGGAAATAAGCATTAGATAATCCCCAGGGCTAGCTGGCTGAATTGGTCCTACTTGATTTAAGGATAACTATGAAAAATGTTGGTCAGAAGTGAAAAAAGACTTAGAAATTTGGTCAAATTTGAAGCTTTCACTGCTAGGCCGTATTGCTGCGATAAAAATGAATGTATTGCCTAGAATGTTGTTTTTGTTTCAAACTTTGCAGATTGTGGACAAAATGGACTGTTTCAAGAGGTGGCAGAAAGATATTTCTAAATTTGTCTGGCAGGGCAAGAAACCCAGAATAAAATTTAAAATACTAACAGATGCAAAGGAAAGAGGTGGATTTGCCCTGCCAGACCTCAAACTTTATTATGAATCAGCAGCTTTCTGCTGGTTGAAAGAATGGCTACTTCTTGAAAACACTGACATTTTGGACTTGGAAGGTTTCAATAATGTATTTGGATGGCATGCATATTTATGGTATGATAAGGTCAAAGCACACAAAGCATTTAAAAACCACATTGTCAGGAAAGCGCTATTTAATGTTTGGATAAGATATAAGGATTTGCTAGAAAATAAAACCCCAAGGTGGCTGTCACCAATGGAAGCGAAAGCCTTGAAAAGGGTCAATATGGAGGTCAAATGGCCGAAATATTGGGAAATTTTGGAACAAGACGGAGATAGACTGAAATTGCAGAGTTTTGAAAAACTAAAAACAAAGTGCGAGACTGGCTTCATTATTATCAAATAATGGAGGCATTTAAATTGGACAGGAAAATTGGCTTCCAGGTGGAAAAATCAAAATTAGAAACAGAATTGTTAGAACCCAATACTAAGAATTTGTCAAGAATGTATAACTTGCTGCTGAAATGGAATACTCAAGATGAAACGGTAAAATCGGCTATGATTAAATGGGCACAGGACGTAGGACATAACATTATGTTTGCTGACTGGGAACAGTTATGGACCACAGGTATGAAATTTACGGCATGTAATGCCTTAAGAGAGAATATTATGAAAATGATATACAGGTGGTACATAACCCCAGTCAAGCTTGCGAAAATCTATCACTTGCCCGATAACAAATGTTGGAAATGTAAAGAAATTGAAGGTACATTTTTCACCTTTGGTGGACGTGCCCAAAGATTAAGGTCTTCTGGGAAATGATATATAATGAATTAAAAAGGTATTTAAGTATACCTTCCTAAGAAACCAGAGGCCTTTCTCCTGGGTATAGTCGGCCAAATGGTGTTTAAAAAGGATAGAACTTTCTTTATGTATGCAACAACAGCAGCAAGAATACTCATCGCAAAGTATTGGAAGACACAAGAACTTCCCACGCTGGAGGAATGGCAGATGAAACTTATGGACTATATGGAACTGGCTGAAATGACTGGTAGAATCCGTGACCAGGGAGAAGAGTCGATGGAGGAAGACTGGAAGAAATTCAAAGACTATCTTCAGAAACACTGCAAAATTAAGGAATGTTAGAGTGATGTTGGACTGAAAACAAGTGGTTTCCAGCTGCACAGGTTAAAGTTATGGAAATTTGATATTAAAAGGGAAAACTTTAAAGTTATATGATATTAAGACTAAGGACTAGGTTTAAAAAAAATTGAAGTTATATATTTTAACATTTTACTAAATTAAAGATTGGGATTAAAAAAAGTGGAAAAGAAACTGCTGAACAAACAATGTGGACTGGAATACAAAGGAGGGAGGTTTGAGGAAGTCTAGAAAATAAGTCACGTAAAATTGGAAATGGAAAAGAGAGTTTGTTTTTAATTGTTGTGTTTTGTGTTTTTATTGTTAAGTTTTGTATTATTTTTATGTGAGTTTTTCTGTTTTTTTTGTTTTATGTTGTTTTAAACTTTAATAAAAATTATTAAAAAAAAAAAAAAAGAATTGGTCCTACTTGGGCCAGCGAGGAGGCCAGGGGAGAATTAGCTGTGGGGTCTCAGAGTGGGTGACCTTCATAAAAGGGGAGGGGGAGGGAAGGGAAAGGAAGGGAAATAAAAGATCAGGCTGAATTCAGATTCAAAGGCCAGGCAGAATAGCTCTGTCTTACAGGCCTGATGGAAGGAGATTAAATCGTCTCATGGGACAGAGCATTCCACCAGGTCAGAGCCATCACTGAAAAGGCCCTGGCCCTGGTGGAGGATAGTCTGACTTCCTTAGGGCCCAGGACCTCTAAACTATGGTTATTCATGGACCTTAAGGTCCTCTGCGGGGCATACCAGGAGAGTCAGTTCCATAGATACAAGGGCCTTAAGCCACAAAGGGCATTAAAGGTCAAGACCAGCACCTTGAACCTGACCCTATACTCCACCGGGAGCCAGTGCAACTGGTAAAGCACTGGGTGAATATGTTCCCATGGCAGGGACCCTGTGAGGAGCCTCGCTGCAGCATTCTGCACCCGCTGGAGTTTGTGGGACAGTTTCAAGGGCAGCCCCACATAGAGCGAATTACAGTAGTCAAGCCTGGAGGTAACCGTCATATGGATCACTATGGCCACATCGGGGCAGGAAAGGTAAGGTGATTCTATGCTCCTGCCACTGTCAGAGGCAGCGTGCTTCTGCTTACCCATTGCTGGGGCTCACATGTGGCTGTTGCACTCCTGTCTTCTTTCTTCTGGGCTTCCCATAGCAATCTGGTTGGCCCCAGTGAGAACAGGGTGCTGAAGTGGATGGGTTTGTTTTTCTCTCTTTTGTCTGAGCCAGAAGGCAAGCTCTTCTTATGCTATAAAGTTCTTCATGTAGAATGAGGAGAAGGGAGATCAGATGAGTAGCCCTGAGCTGGGGCTTTAGAGAGCCAGACAGAGAAGGATGGAGGACTGGGTTCAGCCCCCATTATAATGTATTGGGGAAGACAGGGAGGGTTGCAAAGCTGCCACAACTGGGAGTGAGGCGGGGAGAACGGGAGAAGGCACAAAGGGGCAATGGGCTGGCATTTTGGATGTGCTCCCATGCCCAATTTGATTTCCTGGCATTAGGCAGCGGCAGGGAAGAAGCATTAGGGTTTTTTTAATAAAAAATAAAAATAAACACCCTCAGCCATACACAAAGGGACCTTAATAGCATCATCTGCGTTGCCCTGAACAACAGCACCGAGCAGATGTTGGGAGCCACGACACACAAGCAAGAGGCTTGACTTTTCAATAGCAAACATGAGGTGGGTGGGAGAGGAGGGCAAAACTGCACACTGAGCAGATTATGTGTCTTTACGTATGTGTGTTTATGGGGGAGGGGAGAATCTGCCGTGGTTGAGCCAAATGCTTTCTGGGGGTAGGAAATAAACAGAAGAGAGAAGTGCTTGCAAAATCCACCCTGTTCTGAGAACATCTGAAAGCTCAAAGGTCTTTTCTGAACATTTCCCAGCGCTACAACATCCTTTTTGATGTCTGCCAACCAGAATGGTAGACGGTACCCGAAGCCTCACCTCACTGTAGATTTGTATAATGATCTTTGCAGTTTTATTTCTGCCCCCAATGCTCCCTAACACGGAATCTGTCTTTTTCACATCTGCCCCACACATCTGGTCAACATCTTTCCTGAGTTATGCACTAGGACCCCAAGGTCTCGTCCTTGCTCGGCTCCTTCCAGTTCGGAGCCCATTTAGGGTATTAGTGAAATTAGGAAATTTTGCCCCAATGTGTCTCACTTTACCTTTGCTTTCATTGAATTGCACTTGCCAGTTTGATGGCCATTCGCCTGGTTTGGAGAGATCCTTTTAAGAGCTCATTACAATCCCTTTTTGTCCTAACCATCCTCTTGACTCATTTGGTTTCATCAGCAAACTTGGCCATCTCACAGCTCACCCCTAACTCGAAATCATTTATGAACAAGTTTGAAAACACACACCAAAACACTCATCCCAATACTCATGGGGTAAAAGAAACTGCAAAGCCTTAGGTCGCCTCTTCTATTGCTTTCTCCCCCAGTATATTTCCTTGTCCCCTCTTCTGCTAAAATTTTGGTTTGCCATCATCTCATAAGGATCAGCTCCAAATCATCGAGCCCTTGGATCCGCAGATTAGGACAAGGGGACATTACCAATTCTGGTAGCTTAGCCAACGATCTATTTACAGAAATTACGCTCATTGGTGAATTTTAGGATGCAGCTGCTAAGCGAACAATATAGCCAAACTAGGCTGAACAAATACTGCTGATCATTGTAAGCCTTGTTTTTACAAAAACACCCGTCCACCAATAATCGGAGGGAAGTTTCCAAAAAATGAGGGAAAGCATAGAGTAAGGCTGCTGTAGAAGTTGCATGACCCCACTTCCCAGCTGAGACACTCACACTGACCTGGGTGGAGTGAGAAGGACCTATCAGACCCCTCTAGGGTAACCCTGCTACCTTGGTCTGCACAGAACAGGGATAGGGTGCAAGATCTGAAACCTGCAGAGGCAGGGGCCAGCCTGACCATAAGGCAAGAGGTGTCAACTGCCCCAGGCAGTCGTGGGTTTTGCGCACCATTGCAGGCAGCAGAGTAGAAGATAGAGTAGGTGGGTGAGGCATAAGCCGCTTGCAGTTAGGTAAGCACAAGGAAAAGAGGACATGCAGCTGCATAAAATGTAGTTAGGCTCACTGATACGTACTCAGCTCCGTAACTTGCAGTGTCTTCTGTATCATCTGCCCCTGAGAAATGGAATGGATGCTTTAGTTGAGATTCGTGCATTGCAGGGGGTTGGACTAGATGACCCTCGGGTTCCCTTCCTACTCTAGAATTCTATGATCCCATTATTCCTTTCCCAATGACATACGTTGGTCTGGCACGTACACCAGGAAGGGGGAGTGAAATGGACTCAAGGTGCAGCATTTACTTATTCATTTTACAATAAGTTCAGTGCTGGTGCTCAGTGCAAAGGGACATTCCGCCTTGGTGTCAGATAGGGACATTGGAAGCTGCCTCATACTGAGCCAGTCCACTAGCCCATCTAGCTCAATATTGTCTACACTGGCTGGCAGTGTCTCTCTGGGATTTCAGGCAGCATGAACCTTCTACTTGCAAGACAGTTGCTCTGTCACTGAGCCATGGCCCTTCCTTGGCTTCCTTTCCCCACAACGTCTTGCGCTTAAAGTCCTTGCCTGGGAAACATGTGTGGCACAGCCCTGCATGAGGGATAGCTCAGTCGGTAAAGCATGAGACTCTTGATCTCAGGGTTGTGGGCTCGAGCCCCATGTTGGGCAGAGGATTTCTGCATTACAATGGCTTGGACTTACATGAGCCTTGTGGTCCTTTTTAACTCTATGATTCTATGACCGTAATCTGAGTTATGCACATTGCTTTAAAAAATTTTTTTAAAATGCACCATGCATTTATAGAACATTTCCCTAATTTCCCCTAATTTTCATTTCCACCACACACACCCCGCCCCCAATAACTCAAAAACTATAAGGCATAGGAAATTTTTATTCACACCAGCAACTTTGACGTGGGAAAATCCAGTACAGCAATTTTAATCAAAATCCGAAATGTAGAAGCTATTTTAAAAAATAATAATTTTGGTGTTTGTCATGGAACAACCCAACTGAATAAGATAACAGTGGTTAGAAAGGGCCCCCATATCAATTCTACCTTCAGTCCCCCCGCCAAGGCTGCTGGAGCTGGGCTGTCAGCCCTAAAATGGCCTTTGTCAAAAACTAGTTGCAACCTCGAAGCCTATGCACTTTCCCCTGAAATGTGGCACCCTGAACCGAAAGCAAAACAGGCCTTTGTGGCGCTGCAAGGAGAGGCACTGTTTGTTCCCGACCCTTCTGGGTAGAAGCCTTCTGTTAATATGAGCGAAAAATAGTGCTGGCCTTTCCTAACACATCGCTTTGTTGACTCATGTTCAGCCTGCTAGCCAGTCTTAACCCCCTAAATGCTTCTCAGGCGAGGGATCTTGCTGCTCCACCTCTGCTGGATGCTGTGGAAAAATACAGGCTGTGGGACCCAGGCAGAAGGCTGCTTCAAACACACTCAGAATGGGAAACACTTTTTGTATGGCTGGGTGGTTAACCTGAGGCTCCCTAGAGCATGGGTAGGCAAACTAAGGCTCAGGGGCCGGATGCGGCCCAATCACCTTCTAAATCCGGCCTGCGGACAGTCTGGGAATCGGCGTGTTTTTACATGAGTAGAATGTGCCCTTTTATTTAAAATGCATCTCTGGGTTATTTGTGGGGCATAGGAATTCATTCATTTATTTATTTATTTTCAAAATATAGTCTGGCCCCCCACAAGGTCTGAGGGGCAGTGGACCGGCCCTCTGCTGAAAAAGTTTGCTGACCCCTGCTCTACAGGTTACTGAGCTACAGTTCTCATCCACCCCAGACAGCCTGGCCAGAGAAGCTGGGAGTTGTACTGAGAGAATGGCTGCTTCTGGAAAATACTGACGTGTTGGATCTAGAAGGTTTTAATAATGTATTCGGTTGGCATGCATACTTGTGGTACGATAAGGTAAAAGTACATAAAGCGTTTAAAAACCATATTGTTAGAAAAGCATTGTTTAATGTCTGGACAAGATATAAGGATTTGTTAGAAAAGAAAACCCCAAGATGGTTGTCACCAATGGAAGCGAAGGCACAGAAAAAACTCAATATGGAGGCCAAATGGCCGAAATATTGGGAAATTCTGGAACAAGAGGGAGACAGACTAAAATTGCAGGTGCCGAAGAAGGATAGAACTTTTTTTATGTATGCAACAACAGCAGCAAGAATACTTATCACGAAGTATTGGAAGACACAAGATTTACCCACCCAGGAAGAATGGCAGATGAAGTTGATGGACTATATGGAACTGGCGGAGATGACTGGCAGAATCCGAGACCAGGGAGAAGAGTCAGTGGAAGAAGACTGGAAAAAGTTTAAAGACTACTTACAGAAATACTGTAAAATTAATGAATGTTAGGAAA